GTGAGAGGCGGGACCTTACTACGTAGAGGGGCTGTACCTTGCTACGTAGAGGGGTTGTACCTCAATACGTCAGGAGTGATGTGTAACTTGTTTGTACCTGTGTATAAAAATGGATTCCTGGGGTGGTGTCTTTGTCCGGCCACGGGGGCAGTGGAAAGTCCCGCCACTGAGCCGGGTCCTTGCCAAGAGGCATCTATTAGTAGTATGCCCGGTAGACTAAGTAATCTACGGGGAACTGCAATTGTGTCCGAGATCGCAATAAACCTGGCCGAGGTGCCTTTGTATCTTAGTAGACTCTGTGGTTATTGGGGGTTCTCGTCGGGTCTGCTGTGTCAGCTATCTGCGCAGAGCTGGGGCAGCACACAGAGGGAACACACACACGCAGCCGAGTGATATCAACAGGAGAAAGCAGAAGCACCACACCGGTAGCCTCTCACAACATACCTCAAAAACCATATCACTGATTAAACAGCTGAACATAGCTGGTCTATGAATGGAAGCCTCTTTCCTTCCTATTATGGCATCACTTCCTGGATGCACTATTTGACCCTTTCCTCTATATGATGTCACTCCTTGTTCTGATCTACTTCCTGGAAACGGAAATCACATTCCGTACAGACAGGACTTCTGAGACAAAACCACCAAGTGGCATTAGGAGGTAAGCTGTAAACACAGGAGCTATTACTACTAACAGCACACCTGCAGGACAAAAACAGGCTGGGGCAGAGTGAAGGGGAAATAAGAAAGAACTGACGGGCTTGCATCGTTGCAGAATAAAGCCATTTGCTGGGAAGAAGGGAGAGCTACAGCAGAGGTGGGACAGAAATGCTACACCTCGTCATTCTGTCTGCTAACATCCCAACTGCAAAATTCATCACACCTGACTCACACGTGTCTGCCAGCTTCAGAGGTAACAGTAATTTGTTTAGCATTTTCCAGGAGATAACTGATCATCTTTTGCCTTTCTCGGGTGCATTTTGTTTGAGGATCACAAAGTGGTCTCTGGACATTAAGGGCCGCCTCCTCTTCCTAGCTGGGTGGCAGAGGGGAAACAAATCTACCAAGTATAGAAGGACAAGACAAGAAGCCCCTCCATGCAGCTGGGAATTGTAACAAGGCAGGGTTCTCCCCATCTTGGTAACGACTCTGCCACACCCACCTTTTCCGCAGGTTTATTGTCCAAACTTAAACAAAACCAAACAAAATCTCACCCTGGCTACAATTCCCAGGGCATTTTCCCCCTGTCCCTCTCAGACTCTCATGGCCTCCCCTCCCCGGGAAGTCCTGCAGCTCCTGATTCCTGCTTCTGTGCCCTGTTCCAAGAGCACTAACCCCCTCAGCTTTTCTTCCTGGAGGCCCTCTTTTAGACAGTTCCTCTCAGGTTCTCACTGCCTCCCCCAACCCCCGCCGCGGGATCCTGGGTCCTCCAGGAGCCTCCGAGTTCTCACTCACTTGGCCTCTCTTTCCCCAGGCCCAGGTGCTCTCTCTGAAAGGGCCAATCTCCCCCTTTGACGGGATCCACAGACTTTGGGGTAGAGGCGGGCTGGAGAGGGGAGTGTCTCAAGGATTCCCCAAGGGAAGTGCCTTCAGGAGTTGAAGGGGCTCAGAGCAGCATCTTTAAGGGGTCTGCCTGAAGCACAAAGCAGGTCAAAACTAAAGCAAGAGAAGAAAACGTAGATTTGTAAACATGAAGGCTGAGATTTCAAAGCCCCCTGGGAGATTTGGAGGCCCAGATTTCATTAAAATTAATGGCAACTGGCCATCCAAATCCCTTAGAAACTTTTGAAAGTTTAGGCTTCTGTATGGCATTTGACCTCCAGGGCTGTCATCTAGCCTGTGATATCCAGGGGGTCAGACTAGATGAGCACAGTGGTCCATTCTAGCCTTGGAATCTATGAATTTAAGAAATAGCCTGGAGATGGAAAAGACCTATTCACTCATCCAGTCCATCTCCCTCCCAGTGCAAGGTTGTTCCCTGCAAAAGCAGGCTGGGGTCAACACTGGATATCATAAGAAAAAGAGACCTGACCCAAAGAACACCGTAAACATGGGCTGTGTTCTCTCCTCACACACACTTTCAGACACTGCCACTTCCATGGAGCTGCACACTGGGAATCCATGGTATGTCTAATTTCTCTTAGATGTCACAAGAAGTACAAGAGTGATACAGAAGGAACAGAATCCCACTTGGAATGAGGTAAGACCCTGTGAGCAGGTGGTGTTTTAGAGAGAGAGAGAGAGAGATCTACCTATCTCATAGAACTGGAAGGGACCCCAAAGGTCATTGAGTCCAGCCCCCTGCCTTCATTAGCAGGACCAAGTACTGATTTTGCCCCAGATCCCTAAGTGGCCTCCTCAAGGATTGAACTCAGAACCCTGGGTTTAGCAGATCAATTCTGAAACCACTGAGCTATCCCTCCCCCAAGTGTACGTACATACGTACTCACTCACTCTTACCATCTCCCTGGGGTTTGCAGGTATTATGGTTTTTATAACAAAACAGAAAACTCAGCCCAAGCTTTCTCCCATCTGGTTGTCAGATGAGTCAGCAGAAATTATTCCTAGCACCTGCCACCAGCCCTATGGCTCTCTACAAGATCCTATAACCTGACTTTATCATATAGGTCCCTAAAATCTTTGCAATCCATGACTGAACCATATATGAATATCTGAAACCTACAAATACAGGGTGGTCAAAGAAAAGATTGAAATGGGTGGGATATACCAGGGTACAATCCAGACCACTGAGCAGCTGTGTCACCCCGTCCTGTAACCTGGGATGCCTTTGCAGTGCCTTGCTGCTGTAGCCTCCCATGTGGACTGTTCTCAAACAGCCACCAGCATGCAAGTCACTCCCAGATGTTTGCACGTACTGCAGCCTGCCAGCCACACTTGGATTATCCTCTGTCTTTTACCAGCCATGGTTATACTGCAGGGTGACCCCAGCACACCCCCAGTCCTGAATTTCCCCCCAGAAATGTATGTCTTGTACTGACCAGCCCTCTCCTGGACTGTCCAAATCTATTTAGTCCATTATTCCTTCAAGGGAATAATATACACACAACTTACCACTCTAAATGGAGTTATCTAGGCACTTTAACTTAAACACACTATATCAGATAAAACAATAGAACAAGTGTATTAACTACAAAGGGTGAGATTTTAAGAGAGTACAAGCAATGAGGCATAAAAGTCCGAAAGGCTTACAAGAAAAATACAAGAAAGATAAAACACGTTCTAGTGTCTAATGTAACAAACTATATTAGTTCCAAAGCAAAATTTCTCACCACGTGCATCCAGCAGCATTACTGACCAAACTCTTCATGTCAGTTCCCCTCCCCCAGAGTCCAATAGCTGCTTCCTTTGTTTTCTCAGATGCAGAGAATGAGATGGGTAGGGAGAGAGAGAGGGTGCCTTGGAATGTTTGCCCCCTCCTTTTTATAGTTTTTAGTCCCTCTTTGAAAAGCATTCCCAGCTAAAAACCAGGAGACAGGCAGTCTGCAGGAAGAAGGAGACTTCATGCTGTTTCTTTGCTAAGATGCAGATCTCTTTGTACCTGCCTCCCTTCCTTGCCGAAGACCGGACACTGGGTAGGTAAAGGCCCATTAGCTTTGCTGATACCTGGCTGGCGTGTCAGCTTGCCCTTTTGTCTTTGAGAAACTGGTTTAACCACTCTCCAGATTGATCTGGGAAACATACTTCAGTCATGATTTCAGCTTCCGTTCATAACTTTACATATAATGTTACTATGTGCACTTTACTATGATAATACTGACCAGCAAATTATCAGTTCTCAAGTGATACCTCCAAGCATGCCTTGTACAAGGATTATTACACTAGTGTGTAGGGTGTGAATACATGGGTGCATACTGTCACGGTAGGTCAGTGCATCCCCCTCAGGCCTCTGTTTCAGCCTGGCAGACTCCATGGTGCGAGCACATTTGTCAAGTTTAGGCTCAATATTAGACAAAGGTTTCTAACCATCAGAGGAGTGAAGTTCTGGAACAGCCTCCCAAGGGGAGCAAGGGGGGCAAAATCCTACCTGGCTTTAAGACTGAGCTTGATAAGTTTATGGAGGGGATGGTATGATGGGACTGCCTACAATGGCACATAGCCGATCTGTGCTAGCCGCAAATATCTCCAATGGCCGGAGATGGACACTAGATGGGGTGGGATCTGAGCTACTACAGAGAATAATTTCCCAGGTATCTGCCTGGTGGACCTTGCCCACATGCTTAGGATCTAAATGATTGCCATATTTGGGGTCAGGAAGGAATTGTCCCTGGGTCAGATTGGCAGAGACCCGGGGGGGGAGAGGGGGGTCGCCTTCCTTGCAGCATGAGGCATGGGTCACTTGCTGCTTTGAACTAGAGTAAATGGTGGATTCTCTGTAACTTGGGGTCTTTAAACTATAATTTGAGGACTTCAGTAACTCATCCAGAGGTTAGGGGTCTGTTACAGGAGTGGGTAGGTGAGGTTCTGTGTCCTGTAACGTGCAGCAGGTCAGAGCAGATTATCACAATGGTCCCTTCTGGCCTTAAAGTCTATGAATCTAAGTCCCCCAGGCCACAGTGCATCTACCCTGCAAAAAAAAAAAACCCACGGTAGTGAGTCTTGGAGCCTGGGTCTATAGACGCAGGCTCACAGGGCTCAGGCTACAGGGCTAAAAATAGTTGTGTAGACATTCACACTCAGGCTCTGAGACCTGCCCCTTCACTGGGTTTCAGAGCCCGGGCTCCAGCCCGAGTGGGAACATGTCCACGGCTATTTTTAGCCCTGTAGCCTGAGCCCGGTGAGCCTGGGTCTATAGACTCACTGCTTCAGGTGTTTCTTTGCAGTGTAGACATACCCAGAATAGGAGACGACAGAGCAACATGGGTTAGTAAGAGAAGAGGTCAAAACAGCCCGCAGGGAAGCAGTGACCCAGAGAGAGCAGACATGCAACAGGGGCCAACCAACAGCCCCCAAGGGGCTGGTCTTCCAGCTGTTTTTCATCAGGCAATTACAAGGGGCAGCACAATTAATTTGGAGGCCCTCTCACAAGGCCTGGGGTTTTCCTGATTGCCAGCCCAGGCTTCCCTCTACAAACTCACGAGCATCCCCACTTGGTTGCAGTGCTGTGGGCACTATTTATGTTTAACCTGGGCAACTATTCTAGACCTGCTTGCCTTTGTCTCCTTGCCCTTCTCCGGGGCTCGATTCAGATGTCACTCTGGTGTAAATCGGGAGTAACTCCAGTGTCAGATCAGGATCAGACCCACAGTGCATGGTGAAGTGTGTATTGCGTTGCTTCCCCTGCAGACCCTGGTGTGGTTCCTGGGTGATCAGCCCCTGGACAGCGCTTCCTTTGTGGACATACAACTCCGGGAGTGGGGTCACTTGGCTACAGAAAGGTGAATCGCCAACAGCAAGTAAAGACAGAGCCTCTTGGACAATTTTGGGGGAGGGCCCTTCCTGATCCTTTTGCAGCCTTGTGTATCCACACGTACTCCCCCATCCCCACATACATACTACAGTATTTTCCTTCCAGCCAAGGAGACCAGAGACCTTGTTCCTTCTTCTAAAGCTTTGTCTCAACTAAATCCATGTAGCTTGGATTCAACACATGCCAGCTACCCCTGACCTAAGTTTTGCTGCCTTTCCTGGGCAAGACAAAGACTAAATGATCATTTCCAAGTAGCAACAATTCTGCTCTCCCCCCCAAATACCCCCTCAAAATTGGAATGTATCAGCCCCTGCCCCTGCCCAGGACCCTCTCCCTGCAAAGAGTGGAGTCTGGCACTGAGGAATCTAACCAAATATTTTGTATGGCATTAATCGCTGGGCCACAGGGCTCCTCCATCCTTTAAAAGCAGAACACTGGCTACCATTCTCACACCTTGAGACCCTCACTGAGTCCATCAGGGTGAGACTCCCTTCCTGGGATTGATGGGGGGAATGTTAGTGCTACTGACAAGCAGGTGTTTCTATCCTCCAGGGATCTGGGCTCTGCTACTGTATTTCTAACATCTCTTGCTGCAAAACCAAGCAGCATCCTCACCCTGAAGGACCTGCCCCTTCTGGACAGAGGCCACCAGCCGACAGGCGTAAGTAAGAAGGGTAACCCTCACTTTAGAGAAGGGGTATCCTGTGGTCTTATATAGATGCAACAAATGAGCCAAAGTTGTTACCGTAATCCAGTCATTGTCCAAGGTCAAACAGTGTCCAAAAATGTCCGGGGTTTGGTATGCAGAGATCTCAGCCTGCTTTGTACCATGGCAAACCCACCAGGAAACAACATTTTAACCTTTTACTAAAGGTACAGAAAATAGGGGGGAACAGTGAAAGCCTTTGAAATGCAAAACATTAAGTAAGGCGTTCCTTTGAACCACATCCCTTGTTCCCATTCCCTTTAGCTGAAGAGTTTTTAGAAGGGAAACCTCCCACTTCCCCCCGTGTTTGACAGTCTGTTAGATAGTATCAAAGATGGTAATAACTGTCCTTGGGGGGGGAAAGAAGTTAGTTGAGCTGGCTGGAGCTGCTGTTAGTCTGATCCCATTTCATCCCAGGTAGAGGTTGGGATCCAGCCAGAGCCAGCAGAGTGGTGATGTCATCTGGGTCCCTCTCTCTGGCCCGGTCTGGTTAGGACATCGCTCGGCATCATGATGGTTGCATCCCAGGAGATGAGCGGGGTGGCAACCATAATGATAAGCTCACTTCACTAGCCAATTTTTCTCCCCAAAGTCTCTTTCTTTAAGGACCCTGTGAGGCGGTGCATCAGTGTAACAGTGCCCCCTCTGGCCAAGCATGGCACAGCCTAGTGGGACTGACAGTCTATTCCTAGGCACAGGGTCAGGAGTGGAGCCCCAGGCGTGGGGCTGGCAGCTGGGGCCAGGAGCGGAGTGGGCTGCGCTCCTTCCCTGTCCCCTCATGGGGACTGGCCCAGGCCCCAGCCACACACCGTGCAAGTTCCTCTGTGCCCCCCTACAGGGGCACATCCCACAGTTTGAGGATCTCTGCACCAGAGGAAAAGCCCCATGCACCCTTAGAGTAACGCATAGTGTTTGGGGCCATTACTGTATTGGAAACAAACAGAGCCTGCATGGGATGTTTATGCAACTCTGGGAGGGTACCCTCTGCTCTTGGGCCTTGAACAGTGTCACCCCACCTACACCCAAACCAATGGAGGTGGTTTAATTCTATTTGTTGTTGAATTTCAGTGTACCACCAATTTAAGTGCCTCCTACACCCCTCCAGGACTCAAGGCCATAAGGGAGCCAGGAAAACAAAAAGCCAGTGGTGAAGGTAAGTGAACATCTGCTGATAGGACCTTCCTGTGCTGTAAATGTAATTTATCAAGTTTACATTTTCCAGATCAACTTGGCCTTGGTTTCCTGTGAGGGGAAAAACATGGGGGTGGGGAAACATACCCCCAACCTGACTCCATCTCACACATCCCCTCCCCATGATGAGTATGTGACCGTTCCCACCAGTTCCAGAGACCATTATGATGCCCATTTCCTCCCTGTGCCATGTGGAATCATCTCCTAAGAGAAGTGGTAGAGGCCCCATCACTTGCGTCATGTAAAACTGAACTGGACAAAGCCCTGGAGAATGAACCACATGGGACAGCACCACCTGGCTCAGGAGAGGATGGGCAAGGTGATCGGATAGGTCCTTTGCCAACTCTAATCTCTGTGGGCTGGGGCCACACTGACTTCGGGAATCATGTCTTGCTCCCATGGGGAAGTGAAGTAGCAGCCCTTTGGCTAACATAGCTTGCTTCCCTCTCTGCTCTAGCACTTGGACATGGGCTGACACAGTGGGCAGGAATTCAATTTGAGTGATACCTGTTGAACATCTCATGCTGCCAGTACCAGAACATCCCTGGACTTTCTAAATATTATAGATGGCAATTTCCTAAATCTAAAGTGTGGCATCCAACATGGAGGAATTCTATATTAGACCTCATATTAACAGATAAAGAGGAACTGATCACAGGACTAAAAATTAATGGTAGCTTAGGTAGAGAGGATCGTGATTTGATCACCTATATAATGTGCAAACAGAATAAAGTCCTGACTAGATAGATAGATAGATACTTGGTGCTTTAAAAGAGCCAAATTCACAAAACTGAAAACAATTATGATCCAAATAATCTGGGAGGAAGAATTTAATCAGGAAAATATGAAACATCATTGGAAATTGTTTAAGAACACTGTAACAGATGTCCCAAAAGCCACAATCCCACAACCAGGAAAGAAGGCCATACCAGTTTAAAAAAACAACAACCTGATTTAGAGGAGAAGTGAAGGTGGATATGAAAAATAAAAAATATATACATAACAAATGGAAGACAGGGGAAGTTAATAGTAATGAATATAAATCAGAAGCTATTAATTGTAGAAAATTGTAAAGGGAAGCAAAGGGAAGAAGGAGAAATCTATGGCCAGCAGAGTGAAGGACAATAAAAAGGAGATTTTTAAGAATTTTAGGAACAAAAAGAATCCTGATAATGGTATTGGTCCATTATTCAGTGGAAATGGTAGAATTATAAGTAATGAAGCAGAAAAGGCAGACGTGTTCAATAAATATTTCTGGCATGCATTAGGGACAAAATAAAAATGTATTTGGGATGTAATTTCTTCACATGGTGATGATAACATGCTTTCTATTCTACTAGTATGCCATGAGGATGTTAAACGGAACCAAATAAATTAAACATTTTTAAATCAGCAACTCCGGATAACTTGCATCCAAGAGTTTTTAAAGAGCTGTCTTGGGAGCTCACTGGACTGTTAATGTTGATTTTTCAATGAGTCTTGCAATACTGGGGAAGTTCCAGAAGTCTGGAAAAAGGCTCATATTGTGCCAAGTTTTAAAAACAGTGAATGGGATGACCTGGGTAATTATGGGCCTGTCAGTCTGACATCGATCCTGGGCAAGGTAATAGAGCAGCTGATATGGGACAATAAATAATTAAAGGAGGGTGATATAATTAGTGCCAATCAACATGGATTTATGGAAAATACATCCTGTCAAACTAACTCTGTATAATTTTATGATGGGAATGATATAAAATTAACATGGGACACATTAAATGGATGTAAAGCTCGCTAACTGATAGGTCTCAAGATATAATTGTACACAAGCAATTCTCATCAAGCAGGTGTGTTTCTAGTGGGGTTCTGCAGGGATCTGTTCTTGGCCCTACACTATTTAACATTTTTATCAATGACCTGGGAGAAAACCTAAAATCATCCCTGATAAAGTTTGCAGATGACACAAGAATTGGGGGAGTGATAAATAGTGAAGAGGAACCGGTCACTGATACAGAGTGATCTGGATACACTTGGTAAACTGGGCACAAGCAAACAGTATGTGTTTTAATATGGCTAAATATAAAACAAAAAATGTAGACCATACTTACAGCACAGGGGGACTCCATCCTGGGAAACAGTGACTAAAAATAACTGGGGGGCCATGCATAAGGTCCTAGGAAAATGCTGTGGCCAAAATGGCTAATGTGATCATTGGACGCGTGAAAAGTAGGATCTTGAGTAGGAGTCAAGAGGTTATTTTATCTCTGTATTTGGCACTGGTGCGACCACTGCTGGAATACTTTGTCCAGTTCTGGTGGCCTCAATTCAGGAAAGATGTTGATAAATTGGAGAGGATTCATAGAAGACCCATAAGAATGATCAACGGATTATTAGAAAACCTGCCTTATTGTGATAGACTCAAGGAGCTCCGTCTATTTAGTTTAACAAAAAGAAGGTTAAGAGGTGACTTGATCAGTCTGTCAGTATCTACCTAGGGAACAAATATTAAATAATGGGCTCTCAGTCTAGCGGAGAAAGATCTAACACAGTCCAATGGCTAGGAGGTTAAGCTAGACAAATTCAGACTGGAAATAAGACATACATTTTTAACAGCAATAGCAATTAACCATTGGAAAAAAAACTTACCAAAGGTCATGGTGGATTTTCCATCACTGGCTGTTTTTCTCTCAGACCTGTGCTAGGGGTTATTGTGGGGCAGGTCTCTGGCCTGTGGGATACAGGAGTCAGATGAGATGATCACAGCTGTCCCTTCTGGCCTTGGAACTGACGAATTGTGATGGGGCAGTGCCCAGGCTCATTCAGTCCTCCCCCTGCCCAGCCCAGATGCAGCCCCTGACCCCCTGCGCAGCCTCCAGCAACATGGGCAGCCTGCTCAGGGATTTACAGGTTCTCCTTTTAGCCCTTACCCATCTGTGCAGGTGTACAGCAGGACTCACAATTGATCCCTGTGAAGATCAGAGCCCACCCCTCCATTGGCACAATGTGGTATGTGTGTATTGAGATCATGCAGACTGCATGTAATGGGCCATTTATAATGGGACATGCTCTTAGGCTCCTCACTCACATCCAATGGTCTGTGTCCCAGATTCTCACTTAACTGCTTTGACCCTGAATACTCTGTCAAACCAGTGAAATTAAAGCTCCCATGTCTGACACCATCCTTGACAAAGCTGCCAAAGGAGGAGCAGAGAATGTTTGTTCTGACTTGCTCTGTGGGAAAGGATTATTCTTCCAGGTCATCCACCCCAGGCCAATCCATTCCCTTTCTGACCTTCTCCAGGGGCACACGGTTGGGTCACCACAGCCATCCAGAGTATCACAGGAAAGGATCATCAGAGGGAAGGAATCAGCGGCAGAATAAATTCCAGAAGAGAACTCGCAGACAAAAAACAGGACTTCCAGGTATTGCGAACCGTGGCAAGATGAGCTCCGTCAAGGAGAAATTCCCCCCCCAATATAGCCCAGGCCCAATGGTAAAGGTGGTCAGTACATGGGTCTCAATGGCCAAGTCGGTCCTTTTCCCACAGCGATAGACCTAGTGTGCCAGAATTAGTTCCCTCTCCGTGGTAGGATATGAGGATCCCAGCTCTATGTTCCTTCATCCATGGGCTTCATCCTGCTACCTTGGATGGAGCTGATGCCTTGGGAAATAACAGAAATGGATATTATTATTCTGGGTTGCTTTGTCATTGGCATGTCCCGTCTCCAATGGCGCCTCAGGTCAGAGTGGCGTTGGGACCAGTTCCAGCAGTGGAGCCTAGCTGGGCTAACAGAACATCCCTGCCCTGAGACCCTTTAAATCATACCGCTGTATTTCTCACTGCAGGTGCGTGTGAGGATCATTGAAGGCCGCCAGCTCCAGGGAAACAACATCAAGCCCGTAGTGAAGGTCTTCATCGGAGACCACGTGTACAGGACGAGAATCAAAACGGGGAACAACCCCTATTTTAATGAGGTGGGTGGGCATCATGTGGTTCCACGCCTGCTTTTGTGGACTTATCAAGCCTGTGCTGGAGAGGGCCCTCTAGTCTGTGAGCCAATTCCAAATTCAACATAGGATGGTCCCAGAACACCAGTTATTGAGGGAGTTGGAGGCAAGATTGAGGAGGGATGCAGCCATCCCTGTGAGTTATAGTCTCCCTCCCCAGGGCAGTGTCTAGACTGGACTCCTGAGGGGACTAGTATGGGGTGGTGCATGTAGGTTTGCCAACCCTCCAGGATTCATAGAATATCAGGGTTGGAAGGGACCTCATGAGGTATCTAGTCCAACCCCCTGCTCAAAGCAGGACCAATCCCCAACTAAATCCTGGAGTCTGGATTATGTCCTGGAGTATAAGATTATGTCATGTGATGAAACCTCTGTGAATACATCCAACCAAAATTGACAACCCTGGCTGCATGTGAGCGAAATCCTGAGCTCCCCAGAGAGCACAGGCAGGTTTGGGACTGCACTAAATTTACCTCTCCGTTTTTCTCAGATATTTTTCCAGAACTTCCATGAGACGCCTACTCAGCTCTTTGACGAGACCATAAACATACAGGTACGATAGTGAGACTAGAACCCCTCTACCTCTGGAGCTGGCTTCTTGCATCTCACAGCTCACTGGCAGGACCTTCCCTGCTACTCCAGGTATAGGCCAGATGAAGGGCAGGAGACACCTCGCATCACTTCTCTTCTACCTGGTTGACCTGAGTCCCCCGTTTTCCTCTCTTGGCACTGGAGAACCTTGAAACACCCTGCCCTCTAACTCTTTTCTTCTAACAGTTGGTGTTGAGTCTGTTTGCTGATGGGCTAAACTTGATGTCAGTCAGCATTAGTGGGCCATTACTATGCATTTCCTGAGCATGCTCAGTGGTGTCTTCTGACTGCATAAGAATTAACCATGGTCCATACATGGCTATCACGGGACACTGAACATGAGTCTTAGTACAAGGGTGGAGTGGGTCAAAGCAACTATAGATTAACAAGGGTTTTTTGTCCTGAGATGAGACTAAACATATTGCCCCAAGCCAACTCCATCTAAGGACAGGAAGTAAAATCTTGCCCCCACAATAGGCTGTTTTTGTGGTGCTGAATTCCACAGACAACACTTCAGTTGTATTCAAGAAATTCCAAAAAACTGGAAGACTGCTAATGTTGTGCCAGCATTCAAAGGTTATGTCTGTCCTGCGAAAATCCATGGCAGCGTGTCTCAGAGCCCAGGTTTCCAGCCTCAAGCTCACAGGGCTCGCACTATGGCACTAAAAATAGTCACATAGATGTTGCCACTTGGGCTCTGAAGCCCACCCTCTGCCCTGGGCTCCAGCCCATTTGGGAATGTCTCCACAACTGGTTTTCGACTGTAGCACAAGTCCAGCAATTCAGAGTGTGTAGATCCAGGCTCCGAGAGTCACTGCTGTGGGGTGTTTTTGCAGTGTAGATGTATCCAAAAAGAGTAAGTGGGAGGACCAGGGTAACTATAGGCCAGTTAGCCTGACATCAATCTTGGATGGAAAATAAAAGAAAAGCCGATATGGGAGTCAACTGATAAAGAATTAAAGGCTGGGAATATAATCAATACTGGTCAACATGGTTTTATGGAAAACAGGGCTTGTCAAACAAACCTGGTTTCTTGCTTTGTCGAGGTTACACGTTGGTGGGTAAAAGTAACTGAGTAGATGTAATAGACTTAGCCTTTGTATGTGTAATCAGGCGCAGACTCACCCGGCAGCGCCTCCTGTGGGTTGTCTCGGGGAATTAGCTTCCAGCCTCCGGAGCACCCCCTGTCAGCCGGTGTCACGCTATCGCTGGCCCCCCATGTCCCTCCCGGACCCCGGGTGACCCTTTCAGTGGGTGCTGCCCCCTGGCAGTACCCCCACTGTTTCTCCAGGTCTCCCCACTCAGGGGGACCTCCACCCACTACCCCCACCTCGCCTCAGTCGTAGGCTACTGCCAGTCCCCAACTCACCCCCGCGCCCTGGGGCAGACTGCAGTGTCAGCCACTCATCATAGGCAAGGTTGGGTCTGGACCTGCTGTCTCTACCTATTGCTGGGCTGCCCCTTTGCAACCCCAGTACTTGCCTTAGGCTCTCTGCTAGGCCCGCAGCCTGAGGGTTTTCCAGGCTGGAGCTCCCCAGCTCCTCTAGCCTTCCCCCAGCCCTGCTCCACTCCAGGTACCCTGGTCGGCTCCCAGGCAGCCAGGCCCTTCCCTCTCTACCAGCAGAGAGAGACTGTTTGGGCTTCTGGCTCACAGCCTCTTATAGGGACCAGCTGGGCCTGATTGGGGCATGGCCCCAGCAGTTACTGCCTTCCCCAATCAGCCCAGGCTTTCCTTCCCAGCCTCAGCCCTCTCCCAGGGCTGGCTTTAACCCTTCCAGGGCTGGAGCGGGCAACCGCCCCGCTACAGTAAGGCATATGACTTAGCACTGCATAACAGAGACTAAAAGACCTAATGATCCCTTCTGGCCTTGAAATCTGTGAAAGAGTGACTCAGACGTGATGGGCCGGGGAAACAGAGAGCAGCCAGCATGTCCATTGGACACAGTATCCTAGCATCGATTTAAATGGGTTTACTCCCAAGTGACACCGGTGTGAGACTGGAGCCAGGAGCAACATCTGAGTAATCAAGGTACCCAGGGGGCCACAACAAAACATACCAGTGACTCATGAAAAATCTTCTCTTATTTGACCCTTGGTGGGGTGAACTGTTCTTGGGGTGAACTGTTCTTGGGGTGAACATAAGAACAGCCATATTGGGTCAGACCAAAGATCCATCTAGCCTAGTATCGTGTCTTCTGACAGTGGCCAATGCCAGGTGCCTCACAGGGAATGAACAGAACAGGTAATCATCAAATCATCCATTCCCTGTCACTCATTCCCAGGTTCTGGCAAACAGAGGCTAGGGACACCATCCCTGCCCATCCTGGCTAATAGCTACTGATGGACCTACCCTCCATAAGCTTATCTAGTTCTTTTTTGCACCCTGTTATAGTCTTGGCCTTCACAACCTCCCCTGGCAAGGAGTTCAACAGGTTGATGGTGTGTTGTGTGCAGAAATACTTCCTTTTGTTCGTTTTAAACCTGCTGGTCTCAGAACCCCGAGTTAAAAGGGTACCGGGGTCCAGGAGGGACACAGGGCCTGAGGCAGGTGAGACACCGGCCAGCAGAGGGTGCTCTGAGCCTGGAAAAGAGCTAATTCCCAGATGACCAGCAGGAGGTGCCACACCGGTGAGTCTTCGAGATCTGCTACACTCAGGTTTGGGAATCTCCCTCACATCTTCAGCCATGAAGACTGATGCAAAGAATTCATTTAGTTTCTCTGCCATGGCCTTATCGTCCTTGAGTGCTCCTTTAGCATCTCGATCGTCCAGTGGCCCCACTGGTTGTTTAGCAGCTTCCTGCTTCTGATGTACTTTAAAAAAAAAATTGCTATTACTTTTTGAGTCTTTGGCTAGCTGTTCTTCACAATCTTTTTTGGTCTTTCTAATTATATTTTTACACTTCATTTGCCAGAGTTTATGCTCCTTTCTATTTTCCTCACTAGGATTTAACTTCCACTTTTAAAGGATGCCTTTTTGTCTCTCACTGCTTCTCTAATCTAATTTTTATCGCCTCTCTAATCTCCTTGAGCATTTCACAGTCACTATCACCATCCTGGTCAGGTGGTCGGTCATATATCCCTACTGATATATTATTATTATTTGAGCATGGAATTACTATCCATAGAGATTCTGTGGTACAATTTGGTTCATTTAAGATTTTTACTTCATTTGATTCTATGCTTTCTTTCACATATAGTGCCCCTCCCCCACCACTACAACCTGTTCTGTCCTTCCGATATATTTTGTACCCTGGTATTACTGTGTCCCATTGATTTTCCTCATTCCACCAAGTTTCTGTGATACCTATTCCATCAATATCCTCATTTAATACGAGGCACTCTAGTTGACCCATCTTATTATTTAGACTTCTAGCATTTGTATATAGGTACTTTAAAAACTTGTCACTTTTTAGCTGTCTGCCATTACATGATCTAATTGATTGGGACTTTTTTTCATTTGACTGTTTCTCATCAGATCCTACCCGTATTTTATCATCTTCCTCCTCTCCTCCTTACTAGGACATAGAGAATCTCCATTAATAGATCCTCCCCTAAGGGGTGTCTCTGTTCAAACCACATGCTCCTCCGCACCTGTCAGCTTTCCCCCAGCCTTAGTTTAAAAACCACTCTACGACCTTTTGAATTTGGATGTCAATCTCTTACCTAGCAGCCTAAATTTGGCCTCCAGGACCTCTCTCCTACCCTTCCCTATGTCATTGGTACCTACATGTACTACGACCACCGGCTCCTCCCCAGCACTACACATAAGTCTGTCTAGATGTCTCGAGCAATCCGCAACCTTCACACCAAGCAGGCAAGTCACCATGCGGTTCTCTTGGTCATCGCAAACCCAGCTATCTACGTTTCTAATGATCGAATCCCCCATAACTATTACCTGTCTCTTCCTAATAACTGGAGTTCCCTCCCCTGAAGAGCTATCCTCAGTGCGAGAGGATACCCCAACATCATCTGGAAGGAGGGTTCCAGCTATGGAATCGTTTCTGTCTGCTCCAGTTGGATATTCTCCTTCCTTGAGACTTTCATCCTCCTCAACAGCACAGAGGCTGTCAGACCGGGGGTGGGGCCGTTCTACTGAGTCCCGGAAAGTCTCATCTGTGTACCTCTCTGACTCCCTTAGCTCCTCCAGTTCAGCCACTCTGGTCTCCAAAGCCCGTACATGGTCTGCGAGGGCCAGGGGCTCCTTGCACCGAATGCACACATACGCCACCCTCCCATAGGGCAGGTAATCATACATGCTGCAATAAACTGGGTAGCCCCCACTCTGTTGATGGACGTCTGCCCTCATTCTCTTTTTACATCTGAAGCATGTTTCTTTGTTGTTGTTTTGTTTTTATCAGGGGGTGGTTTTGGTTTTAAGTTTAAAGAATGTTAAGTGTATCTAGGCACACACACACACTCCCCCTCTAAACTCCCTCACAAAACTACCCTGTGACACAGTGAGTCACTGTGTGACAGTGAATCATCTTATTACCCCCTGCCTCCGGCATGAGGGAACCTTGCCAATGGTGGGTGGGTGACAGCTTCCTGAAATCACCAGCCTTTCAGACACTTAAGCCCTCTCCTCTGGGCTAGGCCAGCCCTGTCTTTGCCTTGCGGGTTAACAAGAGGTGCCCCTAGTCCCCAAGTCCCTTTGAAGTATTCCTGATATCCAGCCCCTGACACCAGCTACTCATGCAAATCCTGTAACTTCTGCCCCAGTTTGCCAGTTTGACCTTAAATCACTGCACCTGTACAATGCACAGCACTTGTGAGCACTTCTAATAAAACAAAAAAGTTAATTTAAGAAAGAATAAAGATTCCACTAGAAACAAGAGAGCGGTGGAAACAAATGATCACAATATAAACCAAAATCATAAACCATGCACTAGGACCTATGTTTATTAACAGTTCCCTTTCCTAGCTAATAAAGGAGGTTTTCCCCAAAAGTTCAGTCGGTGATTGGAACCAGGATCCAAACCTTCCTGAAAACTCCCCTGCCCCACTGTCTTCTCAGTGAATGGATACAGAGGACCTCTCCCCACTAGGCGTTATACTGAAACAGTCTTTTGACTCTATTCACAGACAGGGAGATCTTCTGTCTGTTGTAATGTCTCTTTTTCACCGCCAAGTGTTTCAACTGTTTGCAGTTGTCTGTGATGGTTTTCCATTGATAGTCTTGAGATGGAGCAAGGCTGGATACCTTGCATACCTCACTGGCTAACCTGAGAGGGGTGACCGCTCTCTCCTGCCAGAATGGGCCATCACCAAGACACATTATCCCTGGTGACTAACTTTTACTTCAAGTCCATAAAGCATACCGTCAATATAGTTACATTATTTCTGAAATACATTATTCCTGAAGTATTCCTGTACATACATTTCATAATGATTATGAGTCTTGACAAGTTGTGAGTTTTCTGTAGATGCATTACATGTTACTCCTTGTGGATAAATACCCTGCAAGTCGTGTTTGGTGTAGTGAGTTTGTCAGGCCTGAGATGAGAGTTGTTTGCAAAGAACAGCAGGCTGTTTGCCAAGGGGCCTCTGTCACAAGGGGGTCCCAGGCAGGGGCGGCTCCAGGCACCAGCGCAGCAAGCACGTGACTGGGGCAGCAAGCCGCGGGGGGCGGCCTACCGCTCGCTGTGAGGGCAGCAGGCAGGCGGCTTTCGGCAGCGTGCCTGCGGGCAGTCCGCTGGTCATGCGAATTCGGCGGCATGCCTGCGGGAGGTCCGCCTGTCCCGCGGCTTTGGCGGCAATTTGGCGGTGGGAACGCCAATGGCGCGGCACCGGTGGACCTCCCACAGGCATGCCGCCGAATCCGCGTGACCAGTGGACCGCCCACAGGCGCGCCGCCAAAAGCTACTTGCCTGCCATGCTTGGGGCGGCAAAAAACACAGAGCTGCCCTTGGCCCCAGGGCTTGGTCCCAAAGTAAATACATCATTGGGTCAAAGTGGAGAAGGCCAAGAGCTTTCCTGTTTAATTGGAGTTCTTTCTGATGATGTGAGCACAAAAGTAGATCCTGTCAAACTAATTTCATGTCTTTTTTTTTATGAGATAACAAGTTTTGTTGATAAAGGTAATAAGATTGATGTAATATACTTAGACAGTAGTAAAGCATTTGACTTTTTATTGCACAATATTTTGTTTAAGAAATTAGAACGACACAAAATCAACATGACACATATTATGTAGATTAAAAACTGGCTAACTGATAGGTCTCAAAATGTAATTGTAAAAAGGGAATCATCATCAAGTGGGTGTATTGCTAGTGGGATTTTTGGCCCTGTGCTGTTTAACATTTTCATCAATGACCTCAAAGAAAACAAAATCATCACTGATAAAGTTTGCAGGTGACGCAAAAATTGGGTGACGGGTAAGTAATGAAGAGGACAGGTCAGTGATACAGAGCGATCTGGGTCACTTGGTTAGCTGTGTGCAAGCTAACAATGTGTTTTAATATGGCTAAATATAAATGTATCCATTTGGGAACAAAATGGAGGCCATGTTTACAGGATGAGAGACTCTATTCTTGGAAGCAGTGACACTTGGGGTTTGTGGTGGATAATCAGCTGAATGTGAGCTCCCAGTGTCATGCTGTGGCCCCAAGGGCTAATGCAATCCTTGTGTGCTTAAACAGGAGAGTACGGAGGTGTTTTACTTCCATTAATTGTTACCCCAAGAACAGATTAATCCCCGAGTAGCTCTCCTGTTGCTTACTTCTGGGTTCCCTAGATGTTAACCTATTAATCTGTTCCAGCAAGGTGAAAGGAGAGGCCCACCCTAGTAGAATTCTCAGGGTTTACCAAGGATCTCCCCATGCCCTTCAAGTCTATCCTGGGGAATTTCCTGATCTGTTTACCCCTGGGAGGACACAGATACAGACTTCTATTCAAAGGATTAACACACAGGCAGTATTTTTCCAAAACAAAAATATTTTTATTATTACTGACAACAGGATTCAGCAATAATTGAATTGTTAAATCTAAATCCCTATTAAGCACTGGATATAAATTGCATAGCTTAAACAAATTATCGGCACATCCTACAGCACAGGATATACAAGTGAAAGTACCCTGTAAAGTCAGACCGTTGGAACGGCTTAGGTGATTATGTTCTGCACATGGTGCTCAGTCCTATGCAACACTGAATAAACTCTAAACTTTATACATAGTAACAAACACACACCCCAGACACCCAACTTTATTATAGCAAACATACTCCCTCATTAATCCTATTTCTGTCCTGTATCCTATCCTGTAACTAGCATGCTTCCTCTCCTTAGGCTTCTCTCCCCCTGCTCTGTCTACGGCTCGTTCTGTTCTGTTCTGTCACTGGTGCTGCTGCAGCAGCTGCTGCTTCTTTCAGGTCTTCTTCTCTGCTGTTCTTTGCTCTTTTAGGTTTCTTTCTTCTGATCTGATCTTCTCCTGGTTCCCCATCTTGACTGACTTTTGCCTGCTGACTGCCTGCCTTTTATTCAGTTTTACCAGCCACTAGACCCTTTCAGATTGGCTTGTTTCTCAATCCTGATATGAGCATACTCTATCTTCCAATCACCTTTAAACCCTCTCTGATTGGTCCATACTTGCAGTCCAATCACAACTGCTAAATCTGGCGGTCAGTCAAAGCTGTTACATAACAAGTCGTAGTATTATGGTCTGTTTACTATTATGGTCTGGTGACACTCACCTAGTTTTGGAGTGACCCCTCCCTGCAGAGGGGGAGTGACCTTTACCCCAGGCTACACTTGTCTGCCAACATACTCGCTATAGGCTACATTGAAACTGATTTCTCACTCTCCTTGGCTATGTGCCAACACTTTACCAAACTATTAAACTGTAAACAATTACCTCATCCCTTTCACTATGTACCCAATTGTTAATTTATGCATCTTAATGTTAAGCTCTACTGTTGCCACCATATTCCTTTCCAATTTCGTTCATTTTATTTTCGCTCTTCCCCTATTTTCAGTTAATGATGGCAAAGCAATGTTTTCAGTGCTGTGCTTAGGAAAATAGAGCAGCTCAAAATCTCTCTTATCAGTGAGACCAATACTAGAATACTATGTCCACTTTTGTCCTGCAGTTTAAAATAGATGTTGGTAAATTGGAGAAGGTTCAGAGAAGAGCCACGAGAATGTTTAAGGAGTAGAAAACCTGACTTATAGTGAGAGACTCCAGGGCCTCAATCTATTTCGCTTATCAAAAGGGTAGGTTAAGGGGCATGTGACGTATCCGGTGACTTGATCACGATCTATAAGTTCCTGCCCATGAGGAAATGAAATTCGAGAATAGAGAGCTCTTCAATCTAGCAGCCAAAGGTATAACAAAATCCAACAGATGAAAGTTGAAGCCAGGTAAATACAGGGACAAATTTTTAACCCAGAGTGTAATTAACCATTGGAACAACTTATCAAAGGTCATGGTGGATTCTCCATCGCTGACCATTTTTAAATCGAGATTGGATGTTTTAGAAAAACATCTGCTCTACTTCAACCACAGCTATTGGACTCAAAGAAGGCATTAATGCCGGGAAGTCCGGTGGCCTGTGTTCTGCAGGACGAGATGATCACAATGGTTCCTTCTGGCCTTTAGATTTATGAATCGATGAACTTTATATTCACAGAGCCTAGTTGCTATTTAGAGCTTTCAAGACTTGAAGTCCAATTCTTCTCTGCTTTGCACTTTATGCAGTCATTTCTGCTGTGCAAGGTGCGTGGAGAATTCTGATTGTGTAGCATTTTACACCGGTGTAAGTGATGAGACAGGTGCCAGGCATTGAAGAATCAGGCCTACAGACCCTTCATGTCAGCATTGCAGAGCTGGGAATTGTGGGTAATAGAGCCATCATGCTGTCCCTGAGGTGGGTGGGGGCTAAGATGGGGGCTTCACCTCCTAGCACAGGAACAGTGAACCAAAGTCTTGGGTTTGTTTTCTAGGTGCTGAACTCAAGGGCGGTGCGAGCAGATTCCATCATTGGAGTGTTCAAGGTGAGTGACAGTGGATGTAATCACCTTGGCAGAGCCAGGTGACTGGACCATGCCAGCAGATATTTTCCTGGTGATGTTGCATGCATGGATGTGGGAACCTGCGTACAGGTAATGCTCACTCCCAAGTAGAGCTGGTTGAGAATTTCCTGGGAGGGAGGGAGAGAGAGAGAGAGACCAGCCCATCTCAGAATAGCCAATAGCCAGGTGGTTAGGTCCCTCACCTAGGGTATGGGAGACCCACCTTCATGTCCTTCCTCTGAATCAGGCAGAGCAGGGACCTGAGCTACTTTCTCCTCCATCGCAGCTGAGTGCCCTAGCCAGTGGGCTGTTCTAGTGGCGTGCACTCATGCTCTCTGTTTTTTTGTGAAAGGTTTCAAAGGGCTCTGCTTGTCCCAGTGCAAAACAAAACAAAGGCCAAAACTTTGAAAATGTGTGAAACGGGATTCTTGTTTTCTGGCCAGCCCTGCTCCCAAGAGGCTCTTTAGGAATCATCTGTTGTCTCCGAGTAACGATCTCCACAACTGGTTACAGTTCTCAAGTGGGTCAATAACTTATCCTTACTCCAGACATTCATTAAAATTCTACCTATGAACACTTCCCCCCCCCCGCACCTTGTTCCTGCCTCTGGCACATTGTGGTAACGTGGGGATGAAATTGTCTGTCTTGTCCACTGTAACATATATTCCTAGATTTTTGTCCATCTCTTTCCAAGTCAGTCACCACTTTTCTAGGCAGCCAGGAATTACCTCAGCTACTGCTGACTGAAGCTGGTCAGGCACTTTTTGACAAAATCTTGGTTTTCTGAAACTGGACGTTTTCACAGAAACACATCTATTTTGACTGAAATTTTGCCAGAAAGGTTTATCAGGTCCAGGATGGGATTTCTGATCAAAACCAGAGCAAGAGACTGCCAGAATAGCTACTTGTCTAGAGCACGCCTGGCACGTAGGAGTCTAAGGGCTTGTCTCCACTTACCAGGGGATCGACACATGGCGATCGATCCACCAAGGGTCGATTTAGTGGGTCTAGAGAAGACCCACTAATTCGACTGCCGATCGACTTCAGTACTCCACAGGAACGAGAAGAATAAGGTAAGTAAACGGGAGAGTTTCTCCCGTCGACCCAGAGTGGTGCAGACACTGCAATAAGTCAACCTAAGGTACGTCAACTCCAGCTACGTTATTCATGTAGCTGGAGTTGCGTAACTTAGGTTGACTTAGCCCCATAGTCGAGACCTGCCCTAAGGTTCAAGTCCCTAGCCTGAATGAAGGGAATGCCTTAGACGGCCAGCTATTCGCCATTCTGGGATGGGCTGGTCAGTCCCTCTCCCCAGTTCACAAGGTCTTAGTTTTGTTCTGCATTGGAATGGAAGCAAATGTTGAAACATCAAGATTTTTCATTAAATCTTCTTTTGGGGCCAGTCCAACTCCCCCATCCCAGTTCCCAGTTCCACACATGATAGGTGTGACGGGTTAGACCCCCTCAATCTGGGATGCCACCTGATGTGCTGGGGTCCCACTCAGCCCTCCGGCCCTGCCAGCCTGGGTTTCCCTTGCGCTGGGTTGCTGTGCCAGGCTCTCAAACCCCTTTCCAGCACACACCCAGGCAAGACCACACCCAGCTGCAGACACGACTGCAGTCAGATGTGTATGAGAGGATTCACCCAGCACTCATGTGCACGCCCCCTGTGAAGAGGTAAACCCCAGATAATATTGTCTTGCGCTGTAGAGAAATCTATACAATGTAAGTTCATAAATTTGCCCCTTCCCTCAACGTGGAGGAAGAGATGCACAACTTCTTACCCCTGTCCCCAGTTAGAAATTGCACAAACTGGGTTTAATAATAAACCAAGTTTATTAACTATAAAAGGCAGATTGTAAGTGACTGTAAGGGATAGCAAACAGAACAAAGCAGATTACTAAGCAAATAAAACAAAACACGCAAACCAAGCTTGATTCGCTAAAGAAACATGTTACAAAATGTAATTTCTCACCCTAAATGTTGACTTAGGCAGGATGCAGAGTTTCTGTAGCTCAGAGTTCCAGTTATTTCTCTTTATAGACTAGTCTCCTTTGTCTCAGTCTGGACTCAGCCCTTGCCTTTCCCACAGCTCAGTTCCTTTGTCTCTTCAGGTACTTTCAGCAGTCTTTCTTCTTGGGTAGGCAATGGAGGAGAGTCCCAATGGCCTTGCCTCCCAGCCTTAAATAGAATTGACATAAGGCGGGAAGCCTTTGTTTCCAGTGGGAAAGTACCAACCGTGTCTAAGGGGGTATTTTTCCTCAGGTGACATTATCACCAGGCCTTGTAGTGTCAGTGCAGCATCCCAGGAAGCTCCTCAGGGAGGTGGGAGATTAGTATCTTCGGAGTTCTATTGTCCTTCTTAAATGGCTCATTCAGGAAGATTGCCTGCTGTCTGGTGGGCATTTCCCCAAGTACAGACGCCCCCCGACTTATGCAATCGATCCGTTCCGGAAAGCCTTGCGTAACTCGAATTTTGCGAGAGTCGGAAACGTATACCTGTACGTTACGCAAAAACTTCCGCAACTCAAAAATCCTATTTCTGGCTTATGGAACTTTTTCCGTAAATGCGATTTTGCATAAGTCGGGTCTTGCATATCCCGGGGAGCATCTGTACACACACACTTGTAATTGTTCCATAGTCAATATTCCTAACTTCAGATACAGAAATGATACAGGCACACAACTTGGATAATCACATTCAGTAAATCACAGCCTTTCCAATGATCTCACATGAGCCATCTTGCACAAAGTATATCTTAGTTATGCCATATTCATCTCATAAGCATAGTTCTATAAAGAATACGGAGCGTCGTGTCACAATAGGAATGAGCAGAACCAGAACAACAGGGGCCAGCTTAGCTCTACTTTGCCTTTGATTTAGCTTCTCTTAGGCTTGGTCTGTGTACACGCTATCACTTACATCGGTATAAGTGATGTCACTCCGTGGTGTGAATGAGTCACCCCGTGACTGACATAATTTACGCCGACCTCAGAGCCGGTGGGGACATAGCTACTGTCGCACATGGGGCTGGAGTAATTAAGTCAATGGGAGAGTTCTCTCCTCTGGGCTTAGAGCATGCATCTGCATTGGTACAGCTGTGCCATAGGGTCGCCATAGCCTGGATCTACACTACCAACTTATGTCGGTATAACACACCCCGGAGCGACGCAGTTATACTGACCTAACCCCCGGCGTAGACAGCGCTATGTCAGTGGGAGGGCTTCTCCTGTCACCATAGCTACTGCCTACATTCTCCAATCAGTGTAGTCACATCTTCATGAAGTGCTACAGCAGCGCCGCTGCCAGTGAAACGCCGCAGCATTGTACGTCTAGCGTCAGCATGGCCTTGTGCTGTGCTTTTAAGTACAGAACAAGGAGTCAAGTGGGCCAGGGTCTATGCCAGGCTCTGCGGTTAAGTTTGGGCACATCGTTTTGCCGCTCTGTGCCTCACTTTCTCCACCTGTACGGGGATCCCAGTTACCTGAAGGGGGGCTGCGCGGTTTGAAGCATGGAGGATCCTAAGAGGGAGAGTGTTAGAGGAATGCCAGGTGGTGTTATTGTTCTCCTAGGGCAGATCCCCTAACATGCTCCATTTCCCTCTCCACAGCTTGAGGTTGGCCGTGTGTACGACTCTCCTGGTAGGTGAAGGCTGTTTGTGGCGCCGTTAGACAATTAGATGGGCTGGGCTGTTCCTAGTGCCTGGGTACCAAGGAAGATACAAACCAGGATTTCAAACCAATCCCAGTTGCCCTGCGTTTATTCTCACCCTTGGGACTCCACACCCGTCCCTCACACCCCACCAGGTGCTAGCCTAGTAACGCTGTTTATCTCTTACTGCCCCATGCAGGGGGCATGTTCATAGCTCCATCTCATTCCCAGAACACTTTACAAGGGATCCCCCCCACTCCATACACCAGCTTGTCTCCGTGCCACCTGTCACCATGACAACGCTGTAACGCCCCTTGCCCACAATAGGTACAGTATCTGGGACCCTTGCCTCCCTGCATGGTAGTCACATACCTGGTTACCTGCATGGTTGTTGCTCCTTGGAAATTTAGCCTCTATGAACTCAGGATTGGGGAGCAGGCACTAATAAGGACTTATCCCCAGTTAGTTACTTATATGGCTTATATTGCTGCCACCTGGGACACATTCGTTTCTGCAGAGGTAGGACTCCACTTTCAGGATTACTGAGCCAGCACCATCCACCAGCGCCAAACTCCCTTGATGACACACAAACTGGGGGAGTGGTAAATAGTGGAGAGGACAGATCCCTGATTCAGAGAGATCTGGATCACTTGGTAAACTGGGCACAAGCAAACACTACACTTTTT